TGTCGTCTGCGCTAGGCCCGCCACGGGTGTCAGGTTCAGGCAGGTGCTGTGTGGTGCGCAGACAGGCAGGCAGCGCTGGACTAGATCTAAGACAACATTATTATAGAATTACGTAGCCTATGTGTATTATTATTATTATTATGAAGGAAAAGAAAACAAATGAGGCAGTTCTCCTCTTGATGAAGCCAACGTGAGACGCTCACTGTTAAAAGCAACCAGTAAACTGAAACGACAAATGCAGTTTTTGGGATACCTGAATAGACATAAGGGTCTTGAACATCTAGCTCTTACTGGCAAAATTGAAGGCAAAAGAGGCAGGGGTAGGCCCAGAGCAACCTACTTAGGGAACCTAAACAAAATGGGTAACAGAGAAAGATCAGGGAGACGTAGCTTATTAAGAGCACCCGAGCAAAGGAATGAAAGGAGAACCATGGTCGCCGATGTTTGTCGCAAATCTGGCACTAGATAAAGATGGTGATTCTATTATGATATCCTAGATTGTCAACTATGATGTACTTCCTGTGTACTATGGAGCGCACTGTGTGAATCAGATTTTGCTACATGAAGGAAATACGAGGGATGACTTCACGCGCCCTCGACTGAAGTGAGACTGGTGTCTTTTGCCATTTATTTGGGTGTAATGGCGTGGTGCATGGTGTATGCATGCATGCATGCATGCTCGACAGCAAATTTTACATACAGAACAAAAAAGCGGCGGCCATGACATACAGGGCTTGATCTGGGGGTGCAAGTCTATGGTATACCTCCACATTGGGAATTTTCTTTTCTTTTTTAGTAAGTGTTTTATAGCGCTCACAACTTCAAAAGGTCATATGAGCACGCGGGACACACCTAATATTTTCAGTTGGTAGGAAATTTTGAATTTTGCCCGGGTGGTGGCCGAAGCCTACTCTTATCGATTTTAGACCACCAAGGGATCTTTGACGTGCGCAACTTGTAGACGGGCCCTCTGAGAATTTTCGCCCTTGTCCGAGAAGGCTAGGTGTAGATCTTTCCTACCAGAATATCAGGGGAGTGGCAGAAAGACAGCAGTAAGAAGGAGCCAAGAAGTAGCAGAAGAAAGGCTGCAGAAAGAGTCAGGAGCCCAAAGGAGGTGGCAAAGGAGGTGAGGGGGTGGTGGCAGGAGGAAGAGACGAAATTTTTCGGTCGCTACCCGGATTCGAACACGGGACCTTTGAATGAGAGACCAACACCTTAACCTCAAGGCCACTAGAGCCCCCCAGATTGTGAATGTGACATGTGTGCATATTATTATATGGTCGCTTTCAAGGACAAGCGTGCTA